AATAAATAAATAAATAAATAAATGTTTTCTAAAAAATAAAAAGAATTAGGGCTGGCGAGATAGCTCAGCAGACTAAGTGCCTGCTTAGGCAAGCGCAAAGACTGGGGTTCGATCCTTAGCACCACATGCCTCACTGGCCCCACCTTCAGGTGGGCGCAACTGGCTACCAAGTCCAGGAAGTCCAGGCGTGGTGGCCCACACCTGTAATCCCAGCACTGGGTAGGCTGAAAACAGGAGCATCACTACAAGTCCAAGCTGTATAGTGAGACCCTGTACCAAATACATACATAAATATATAAATAAATTTTAAAAGAATAGCTGTAACAGAGTTTTGTTCCTTAAAATCCATTGCCACCATGCTTCATAAAGAATAGTAACCTGGTATATTTCCTCGGCTATTTTCTATAAACTTCATTTCCATTAAAATGTAAGCATGAGGTAAATGAAATAACACAAAAATTGCTAGCAGGAAATCAGGGTTGTTCATGCATCACTGATAATCTTTATGAGGTCATGACAAGTATCCAACATGATTACAAGCACATTAGGAAAACAAAATGGACAGAGTTCTCCATAAGTACACAAAATAACAAGCTTTAAGAATGATTACCTTCAATCCCCAGTACCATAGTATTACCTTTTAGGAAGAGAATAAGGAAGAAAGGGCAGAGGAATGTAAATGAAAGTAATAAAATGATGGATATAATCAAACTATATGCATGTATGAATTTTTTTTAATTTTAAAGAAGTATCTTACCTTCTTCTCGCCTCAAATTCCGTTCAATGTTTGCTACACAAGAAGCACAAGTCATGCCCGTGACTTGTATGTAACACTTAGATGAAGTCTTTTGCTCATCCTTGTTATGAACTGGTGTCATCTTTTTATTTAATTCATTGGTTGAGGGCAAGAGTGGTGTTTCCAATGAGGGCTGTGCTATTATTCTCAATGGCTCATTTACGTCTGGTAGAAAGAGGAAGAGGCTTTTCATTGGTGGTATTTATTACTCTCTAGCCACAACCTTGTCACACCTAACAATCTACATCCTCAGGTATGGCAATTCCATATCTTTAAAATCAGCAATTTTTTTAAAATCTCATTTTCTTGGTACATAATGATCACATTTATCACAGAGAATTTGTGCGAATGTGATATAACTTTTTTCTCCATTCCCCTACCCTTCTTTCCATTTCCCTACCCTCCCTTAAAACCAGCAAATTTTCACAAGTCCTCAAGAAATATGTTATCTTTACACTTTGCCAGTTTTCACTTCCAATACTGCCCACTCAGTTTCCAGCAAAGTCTTAGCTGAATGAAAAGTCAAAACTTTACCAATATTAAGTTCCTCCAGTCATTATCTCTACTCCCAACCCCAGGTAGACAGTAGTTTGTTAATAGATGATTCTTACAATGAAATTTTAGAATCATGCTAATGACTTATGTACTACATTCCAAGACTCTAGTGGATGTCTGAAAATGGATAGAATGGGGCTCTAATATTATTACGTTTTTATACATACTTGTGATGAAGTTTAATTTGTAAGTTAGACATAATATAAAATTAACAACTAATAAAATAGAACAATCACATCAATATACTGTGATAAAAGTCTTGTGAATATGAACTCTCTATTTGATAAAATATATCATTTTCAGTCTGCAATTTACACAGGTAATTGAAGCTGTATAAAATAAAGGACAAGGGAAGCCTACTGTATGTAATGGAAGAAAAAGCAATGTACAAAAGAGAATTATAGAATTATGCTATTTTAAAAGTCTGTGGTTACAATCTGAGGTACAGGATCTCAGGATAAATCCTGAGGGGATTTCACTGACCTTATCAGACCCAAAGCTACAACTCTTGTTGCATAGGTCTTGTTTTATCTTGGTCTTAACCATCCAGCAAAAAAGTATAAAAACGAAGTATAAGAAATAAAGTCATGGTGTTATGTTGAGGTGTAGGGGACTCAGCTCAACAATTTCTGACACTGCCAGTGAAGCTGAAGACCCAATACCATTATGGACTACTGAACTCTTTTAGAATATTTTGCTGATTTAACACACCTATAATATTTAAATGATGGAACTTAACAAAAAAGGGGGATACTGATGAATGTCCATTTTGTATCTGTGCATTCAAAGTGGTTAGAATAGATATATAGTTACATTCTCTTAATGAATACAGGGATTTGTTCTAATAGTGTTTGTAAATAGGATATCATGTCCGCATCTTGTACAGCAATTAACCACTAGAAAGAATGTATGCAATGTGTTAATCATTGAAACTGTCCTACCAATTTGGTTTGGAAAAAAAAAGTCTGTGGTGTATGCATATATGAGAACAAGCATAACAAAACCCAGGAGCAGACTATCCACAGGGACTACTTCTGAGGCTTAGGCAGGAATAGAATAGTAGAGGAAATTCTGTATGATTTCAAATTTTAGTATATACAGATCTATTTTAAAATTTTTAAATGTCTTGTAAATAGTTAAGAGTCAAGAAATAAGTCAGAAGTAATGATCATTTTAGACAAAGGAGTACTCAGAGAATCTCTAGACAGAATATTTATAATCTGTAGAAGTTCCATCATCACAGAAGGTACCCCACATCTTAGGAAACATGCTATTGTTTCAGTTTATCCAGCGCAATATTAACCATTTCCCAAGAAGGGAAGATATTCTAACACATCTCTGCACCTGAAAATCCAAAAGGTTCCTCCTTTAATGCAGAGATAAAAAGAAAACAGACAATGTGAAAATTCCCATTAACCAATCTAATTTGTTCTTTCTCCCTACTGAACAAAAAAGTCAGTTGAGGTCTATTTAGCTAGCCCACAAAGCATGCCCTGCATAGCAGAACTATTTTTCATGATGCTGAAAAAAACATCTTTGGAAGAAACTTTAACAAAGGCCTGATCATGTTCGTAAAGAATAATGATGTGAACTTTTCAACTCAGTGGAACAAAGTCTCTTAAATTTTTTATTAGCATTGAATTGCCTGGGACAATCCTGTTAAAATTCAAATTGTGCTTCTGTATACTGAGGGCAAGGCCTGAGACTCTCCCTTGCAAAGAAACTCCCAGGTAACACCAGCGCAGCCAGTCTAGGAATAGCAAAGGATACTTTCAACTGTAAAAAACTAGATTCTCAGAGTTCCTAAATTACTCAGTATCTGCTCATAGGTCCATCACTTTGGAAAACTATTAATTCAGATGGTGAATGCACTATTTAGAGCACAGAATTTGCTAAATAATACACTGTTATCTTAAAGAAGTCAAAAAGATGGCTTACTCACCAAAAGATAAAAGCTATAGCTTTGAATAGAATCTCTATTTTTTTTCTTCTGGAGACAGGATCTCATTGTTGTTTAGGCTGGACTTGAACTCACAGCGATCCTCATGCCTCAGGCTTCTAAGTACTGGCATAGACATGTGCTGCCATGCTGGGCCTGAACTATTATTTTAATCTAGCTGGAAGCTTCTGTCATTCTTTCATAATTAAATCCATAATACAAATTTTATGAATTTACAATATTAAAAACAAAAGTGTGAACTGCTAATCATTTCATGTCTTATTTCAAAGTTATTTATTATTTTAGGTACCTGGACTACCATCTGCAATTTTCACATTCTGGAAATACAACATTAAGTCACAGAAATAGTCCACTTTACCTACCTTATGACCTCTAAACAAAGATCCATAAAAGTGTGGTCATTACCCAAGTGTTACAGCTAAAAGAATATAACCATCTTTCACAGAGGCAGGAAAGGGATTAAAAGGTCACAACGAATCACTTGGTTGGTTTCGTTTAATTACCTTTTTTATAGGCTGTAACAACACTATTTATGATTGAAGTATGATGCATGATTAAAGCTGACTTCCCTGCACTTGAGACAATAATTAGAAGTGATTCCAGAGAGGCATGAGGATAGCTTAAGCCCAGCCTGGGCAACTCAGTGATTAGTGAGACTCTGTCTCAAAATTTTAAAAAAATTTAAAGGGCCAGGGATGGATAAAGAAGATGTGGTACTTTTACACAATGGAGTACTGTTCAGCTATGAAACAGGATAAATTTGAGGCTTTTGTGGGTAAATAGATGCAACTAGAGAACGTACTCTTAAGTGAAATAAATCAGACCCACATGTGCAAAAATCATATTATCTCCTTTGTGTGAAAACCTGACAGAGAAAAATGGAATCTGAAGATACTGGTAAATTGTAAGAGTACAGTAGATACTGGGAAATGGGAATGAACTTATTCAAAAGGAAAGAGTTACCGAGTTGAGAAGAACAGGATAGGGAGTGGGGAAAGAGACCTACATATGTATGTAACTAAGATGGTTTGTACAACTGTACTGTGCATTTCTGCTGGTCTATGGAAAGGAGCAGATAATACTTAATTTGTTTCATCTCCTTTCTTTTTTTTTTTTTTTTGGCAGAACCAGGGATTGAACTCAGGTCCTTGCGCTTGTCAGGGAAGCACTTATTCCACCAAGCCATCTTCCTGGCCCTTCATCTCCTTCTTTCAATTATTGTACATTTTCTCTTCTTAATTTCTCACATATTTCTTTCTTTTTTTTCTTTCTTCTCCCAATGTTACATGCATATATCTAACAATATGACTAACTGGTTGGAAGACAATAATGTATTACAACAAATACTGTGCAATTCATATTACTTTGTTATGTGAAATTCTGGATCACTTGTATTTTTTGCTGTCTTAATTCTAATTTGTACTCTCTTTAAAATAAATAAATAAAAATTTAAGGGGCTGGTAATGCACCTCAGTCTGTAGTTCAATCTCCAATACCATAAAAGGAAAAAAAAACTACAACTATATGCCTACAACGTATTTCCAAATGATTCACACATAAAATTATTTGTGAGTATAGGGGTGTGTGGGGGGGGTGTATCAAGAGAGAATGAGAGGGCCGGGGAATGGCTCAGTAGAATAAGTGCTTCCCTGGCAAGTACAAGGGCCTGAGTTCAATCCCCAGTTCTGCTAGAAAAAAAAGAAAGAAAGAAAGAAAGAAAGAGAGCGAGCGAGCGAGCGAGCGAGAGAGAGAGAGAATGAGAAAGCAAAGATGGTAAAATACTAACAGGGGAATATGTTTAAAGTCAATATGTTCATTATACTGATTTTTTTCAACTTTTCTGTAAGTTTGAAATTAGTTAAATGTACAAAGCTACTAAGAGAAGGAATTTATTTCACTCATACTGTCATTTTAAATTTATCATGATTATATTAAATAGATGATTTTGAGATTCAAGGCTCCTAATTTGATTTGCTTCATTTTTTCCCCTAAAATAAATATTCTTCCCCAACTAAAAAAAAAAGAGGAATTTAATCAAATATTTTGTTTGTTTTAATTAGTGAAGACTTAATTTCATGTTACATGCCCTTTTATTCTTAGAGAATGACGATACTGATAATCATGATAAATAAGCATTTTGGTTCAAGGGTCTGCAAGCAGTTAACTCACTAAATTGCCCAGGCTGGGCTCAAACTTAAGATCTTCTGTTTGAGCCCTCCAGGATGCCAGAATTTCCACTATGTGTCACCATGTCTCGCTGAGATACCATATTTGAATGTGAAACATTATGTCTCATACCAATGAGACATAGACTGATTATATTTGGGTTACCATATATAGAGGCAAAGAAATAATTATTATTTTTAATGAATATTATCTTTTTGAGGATTGAACTCAGGCCCTTGCACTTGCCAGGGAAGAACTTACTCTACTGAGTCATCTCCCCAGCCCCCAAAGAAATAATTATAGTGTAGACAATTTGTTTTAATGATATTTATACAAAACTAAACTTGTTTTTGTAGTGTCCATCACTGACAAAATAATACATTATGTAAGCCAAAGTATTTCAAGTTAACAGGAATTCTGGGAACAACAACAGCATGATGAATTAGTGAAATCTGAACCAATATAATGTTAAATATTTATTTTAAAGGGTTTGAAAAATACAAGAAGTGATAGATAAAACTAAATTTTGCTTAAAGTAATTGCAGTCATTTTCTGGCCATGTGACACCGTTTCACTCCCAATATCTTCAATGTAATTTTTTCTTCTGGTTTCGCCATCATTTCCTTCAGCAATTACAGATTTCCTATACTTTGCTCACACTTTGGCACTGGATGCTGTTTAAAATTTTGGTGTCCTGTATGACTTTTTGATCAAGAACTATGTGTGTCTTTTTGGAGCACAAAACTTTTGTCTTTGAGATTTTCTATATTTAAGAGAATTCTATGCAGAAATATAAAATAGTGCAGTTACTTTGAACAATAGTCTGTTTCCCAAAAATACAAACATAGAATTATATGATCCAGCAATTTCAAATCTAGGTATATACTCAAGAGAAATAGAAGATAAATATATATTCATGTAAAAACTACACAATGCTTGTAACAGTATTGTAACAGCCAAGGAGTAGAAACAACTAAAATTTCTGTTAATCAGTGAATGAATAAATATGTTACATCCATACAACAGAGAATTATTCAGCAACAAAAAGAAATTAAGTCCTGATATATTCTATAATATGGATGAGCCTTAAAAACATTTTACCAGGAAAAAAAAAATTTTGCCAGGGCCAGCCAGATAGCTCAGCAGATTAAAGCACCTGCTTAGGTAGGCGCAGAGAACAGGTGTTCGATCCTGGGCCTGCTGTGCTGGCCCCACACCCAGGGTTCGCTGAGACACTGGGACTGGGTGTGGTAGTGCTAATTTAAGCATCTGGGAGGCTGAAAAACAGGAAGGATCACTACAAGTCCAATCTGTGTAGTAAGACCCTGTAGACCCTGTACTAAATATATATATATATAAAAAAACACTTTGCCAAATAAGAAGAATACAGGGGCCAGGGAGATGGCTCAATAGAATAAGCGCTTCCCTGACAAGCGCAAGGGTCTGAGTTCAATCCCCGGTTCCACCAAAAAAAAAAAAAAAAAAAAAAGAATCCAGATACAAAATGATAAACATTGTATGCGTTTCCCTATTTGAGGCAACTAAAATTTAAATTCATAGAGACAGAAAGTAGAATAGTGGTTAGTTACCAGGGGCTGCAAAAAGTGAAAGAGAAAAGTGGAGTAGCTGTTAATGTTATTTCTTATGGAGAATTTCTTTTGGGGATAATGAAAATGTACTTTAAAGGGGTAAATATTTCCAGGCATGATAGTGCATGCCTATAATTACAGCTCTTAGGAGCTAAAGAAGGACCACTGCACGTTCAAGGTCAGCCTGAACTACACAGTGAGATCAAAGTCAACCTAGAATATATAGTAAAGCCTGTCTCAAAAAAGAATCAATTTCACGGTATGTAAACTATAGGTTAAATATCCCTTATTAATGCTTGGGGACAGAAGTATTTCTGATTTCAGGATTTTTATGCAAATCTTGGAATATTTCTATAAACATTTGATGTCTTGGGGATAGGACCTAAGTCTAATTTTTTTTCTGCAATGCCAGGAACTGAAACCAGAGCTTCAAATATGGCAAGCAAACACTCTACCACTGAGCTACATCCCTAGCCCCAGGCCTTAGGGCCAAAGGTTAAACAAAATTCACTTATGGTTTGTACATACATTATACATGCATCTTGAAGTAACTTTATACAATATTCTTTTTTTGTGGTACCAGAGATCGAACTCTGAACCTTGCGCTTGCCACACAGGCACTTAAGCCACTGATTCTCACCCCAGCCCCAATAATGAATATTTTTGATGTACCTGTATTTTGACTGCAACCCATCAAATGAGATCGGGTGTGGAATGTTCCCCTTTGTTGACATCATGTTGGTATTGCAAGAATTCCAGATTATAGTGCACCTCTGATTTTAGATATTCAGATCAGGGATGCTCAATCTGTATAAATCAACCTTAAAAGGTGAAAATTATATAGTTTCTACCACTTGTCATCAATAGGAAAATAAAGTTTGGTTTGTCTCTGAGTCTTTTACATTGGACTGTAGTCAAAAGGACAAGGAGTAATACATTTAATAAAATTTTGTATTCAGTTTTAGCAATCTGAAAAAGTAATATTTGATATCCTCCATTTTAATCAGGAAGGCAAAGATTGACACTGCTCAAAAATTAGCTATATATATTTCTTAGTTGTTAAGTCAAAAATTTCACTGAAGTAATTCCTCAGTTTAATGCAAGGCTAGGTTCAATTTGGATTCAAAACAACAAGTTCGGGGGAGCTATCCGCTCGGCTCCCCACCTCCTGTCCCTCTCTTGGACAGGAGCTTTCTTTCTCTCAATAAATATATTCTGCTCATTAAAAAAAAAAAGTTCACATAGGCAAATTCCATTAGATATTTGGTTTCAGTAGAAACTTAAGTACTATCAAGAATACAAATACTCTGAGACTGGGAAGTCAGTTTAATACTCAATGCTTACATATAAAGCCACAGTCAAAATCCTATTATTTCTACCTTTTAAAAAAAATAACATTTGGAGGCCGGCCAAATAGCTCAGCAGATTAAAGCACCTGCAAGCAGGTACAGGTGCCAGGGGTTCAATCCCTGGGGCCTGCAGTGCCGGCCCTGCCCCAGGAGTGTGCTAAGACTGCGTACTGAGACTGGGCATGGTGGTGCACATCTGTAATCCCAGCGCTTTGGAGGGTATAAACAGGAGAATCACTATGAGTCCGATCTAGTAGCGAGACCCTGAACACCCCGTATACCCTTCCTTAAAACAGAGGAAAAAATTAACATTTGGTTCCCCCATTATATAACTACCCCCTACATAATCCTTATGGCGCGCGCGCACACACACACACACACACACACACACACACACACACACACACAAAAGCACAATGGAACCAAAAATCATCTTTAGCCTACTACGTAAAGATAGCCATTGCTAAAATTCTGAATCATGCCCCGCAGGAATGTTAACTCACTCTTACACATAAATAATATATTTGTAGTATAAATCACACACATTTGTGTATAAAATTTTGATCATAGTACATAGCATTTCAGCTTCTTTTCATTAAACCAAATATCTAAGATACTTTTTTCTGGCACATCTTTAATACTACAAATGTTATGGCTTCATAGCATTTCATCATGATTGTACCATGACAGATTTTACTGTCTGCATCACTGACTACTTCAATGGGACTTATTTGTAAAAAGTGAATTTCAGGGCCTGTGACTCATTCCTCATTGCTAACAGCTAACTGAAGCAGAAAAAAGTGGAAATACAAGAACATTAGAGGAATCAAAGGAAAGATGATAATTACCTGACAAGGCAGCATCAAATCCCATGTCTTCTATTGCTTCTTTCAAGGTTTCTGGAGATGTCAGTAAAGGATCGTACTCAATAGTCCCATTACTATTTTCAAGAGAGACTTGTATCGATTTTACACCTTTCTTTTTTGATATGACACCTTCAATAGACTGCACACAAGAATTACAAGTCATGCCATCAATGTTTATCACAGTTTCTTGAGTCAGAGGTTGGGTGAGTATGTTCAAAGGAATCTTTTGAAGAGATGAGTTGGAGAGAGAGTTGGAGGTATTTTCCCCTTCACTTGCAATACTAACTGTATACTGTCCTGGAGAAACAACTTCTATTGCTTTTCTCAGTTTTTCTGGAGTGGCTAAATTTGCATTGTACTTTACAGTAGCAGATCTGTTCTCTAAAGAAACTACCACACTGCTTACATAATGGAGTGTACATAAAGCATTTTCAATATTTGATACACAAGATTTACAATGCATGCCATCTATGATGAAAATGGCTGTTAAATCATTGGTATATGATGGACTTCTTGGCTGTGATCCTTCTGGTGATCTCACTGGTGTGTTCTTCAGACGCTCTACATCAATAGCTCCCAATTTGAGGTGCTTGGGCTGTTTTTTGACATATGCTGGAAAACCCACAGCTTCAATCTGTTTCTTTATTTCTTCTACTGTGATAAGATGAGGTTGATAAATAATAGTAGCTTCTTGGTTGTCCAAGGAGACTAGTTAATAAAAAAACAAAATTAATTCAGTTATTCATGGGCCACTTCAGAATCAATAACTATTTCTCTCTTATTCTTCTCATCTTTTGCTAAAATGACTTTGTCCTTTTCAGAAAATATGATTGACATAGATTAAAACTAGTAAAAGATATGACCATTGTTGCTATGTTCTCCAAGTTTCTGCATTCCTAAGTAGAAATATGTTAGAGGTTAAGAGTTCCCCAAGAATGTTAAGAACCTTGAACTCCATAAATCACTACACAGCTGACTTTTCTGTTAAACTACAGGCCAAAACTCATGTAATCTTTAATTATAATTACTAACTTTGCCAACAGTAATCCTGACAATATGCTATGCTTCAAACCAGTGAAATAATAAACATTCTAGTCCCATGGTTTCTAAATTCATGCTTAACAAGGAAGCAAAAGGTAAAACAGATAAAAACAGAAAACTGTCTTACAAAACAAAGTAACACCAGATACCTTTAATTCGCTGAACACCTTGCAGTTTCCCAAGTTTTCCTTCAATGGTGCTAGTGCATGAATGGCAGGTCATCCCTTCCACTTTCATCTTCACCATAACTTCACTTGCTTGAGCCATACTGTGATCTTCACAAGTTCCTGAATTTTTCTCTGGAGTTCCAAAGTCCAAACTTAGATCTGGAACTAGCTCTATTATCTGATTAGCACTCACTACAGAAGGAATTATTGTCACTGCCACAGTTTTTTGCTGTGGGGAGATTTTAATGTCTGTCACACCCCTGATCTTCAGCAGTGTGCTTTGGATATGGTCCCACGGCAAAGCCAGTGGGGCAGTAACAGTCAGAAACACAGTATCAGTTAACACAGGGAGAGGATTAGGATTATGGAGAATAGCATCAAAGCCCATGTCATCAATAGCTTCCTGTAGAGTCTTTGGAGTCTGTAGTTTAGAGTCATAAATAATAGTTGCACTTTTTTCTTCCAATGAGACCTTTTGGAAGGAAATTTCAGAAGTCGGTTTAATTAAACTACATGACACAATAATTTAAAAAAATCAATCCAAGTATATTATTTTATTTCATTAAAAAAATGAAATAACTCTAGTAAGGTTTCTCTATTCATTTTCATCTTCACTATTTTTGCTGGGGAAAAAACACACAAAATGTCTTGTCTACCTAGAAGAAAAGTAAAGCAATATATAGGTCTATGTGAGTGTGGTATCAACTGGGTCTTTAAAACATGTGCATGAGCAAACACAATTTCTTTCCTACTACCTCCTTTCACAAATTCTTTTAATACCTCACATTCTACCAAAATAAAAGGTTATACAAGAACAGTATTATCTGTAGAAAATAAAAAGTAACATGAAGTTTACTCTATAAAAAATGTTCAACTAAGGGCCGGCTTGATAGCTCAGTGGACTACAGTGCCTGCTTAGGCAGAGTGCAGTGGCCAGGGTTGGATGCCATTCCTGCCATGCTGGTCCTGCCCCCGGGGACAGGCTGAGACAACAAATGAGAGTGGGCGTGGCAGTGCACACCTATAACCCCAGCGCTTGGGAAGCTGAGAACAGGTGAATCACTGAGAGTCCGATCTACATAGTGAAACCCTGTGGACCCTGTAGAGGTTGTCCTAAATACAGAAAGAAAAAAACAATAAAAAAATAGAAAAATAAATTGAAAAAAAATAAAACATGTTCAATTATGGTAACTGTTGGCAACACAAAGTATAAATTATGTCAATGTATGAGTGAAGGCAGTATTCATAGGTTTTTATAGCATAAATTCCTATACTCCTAAGTACTATAGCATAATACTAATTTTGTTCAAAACCACAATACTTTTATCGATCCTTTTGTGGTTCATAAGCATGATAACTGGGGTTCTGCAATACTGTGTTAGATGTACCTCCTTCATGTCTTGCTAAAATGTTAGCACATTACCTGTCTGGTGTGAAAAAAAAAAGGAACATCTTTAATGTTTTGTGTGATTATAAAACATTTTCTTTTTCTTTTTTTAATATTTATTTATGTATTTATTTGTGTGTGTGTGTGTGTGTGTGTGTGTGGCCAGCTCAGCCCACCAGGGGGCAGGGCTGGCTGGCATGTGGTGCTGGGGGATTGAACCATGGTCCCTGTGCTTTGCTAAGCTTGATTCTAAGTAGGTACTTTAGACCACTGAGCCATCTCACCAGCCCCTATAAAACGTTTTCTTAAAGCTCAGCTACTTACTGTATATATTTTTTGAAAGTTTCAGGCAGAGTCTCACTAAGTCATTGAGTTGCACAGTCTGGCACCAAATTTGCAATGTTTTTGTCTCAGTCTTGCAGAATGCTGGGATTACAAGCATGTACCACTATACCAGGATAACTGCAATTTAACCACCACCATGACTACATTTCTTTGCCTGACATCTTACAGAGCTATGATGAATACGAACACACACACACACACACACACACACACACACGGTTAGGAATCAGAAATTCTTGTATTTTTTTATTCATTTTAATGAGATAATGAAACAGCAATGAAACAGTTTCAAAACAGGTTAGCAGAACAGCTAAAATAATTAACACATTGCATATTGTTGTTTTCGTAGTGGTTATTCAGAGGACAAGATGTAGACATGATGTCTTGTCTAAGCAATATTAGTACAAACCTTCTTCTCATTGAACTAAGAGAAAGTAGTTGTATATCCTATTTTGTATATGCATATATTTTTTACTACAAAATGGTCCTTTATTTATATCCCCCTTTTTTGTTCTGTTTTGTCACAGATGGATGTTCCATTGCTGTTAGAGAAGCTGTATTAGGACAAGTCTTTAAAGGACTTTTTCATACTTGATACCAGTTCAAATACTGTAGGTACTTGAATTCAGCAAAATAACCCAATATTGTCCAAAAGTCCATAATAGTAGGGATTATCAGCAGAACTGGCAATTGTCAGAAGTTGATTTTTTTTTTGGCGGAACTGGGGATTGAACTGAGGTGCTTTCCCTAGCCAGGGAAGCACTTATTCCACTGAGCCATCGCCCCGGCCCCCTGTCAGAAGTTGTTGACTTGAGCCTTTTACAGTTCAACATAGCAATATGGCATTACTTTTATACCTCATGGTTATACTTTTCTGCTGGAAGGTTAAGACCAAGTTAAAGCAAGACATATATCACTAAAAATGTAACTTTTGTATCTGACAAGGTCAGTCAAATCCCCTCAGGATTTACTCTGGAACCATGTGCAACACCTTGTGGATCTTTTGTCAGTGTCAGCCATCTGGATGAGTCATGGCCATTGCTTGACCAGTTTGCTCTCTGTGAAAGCCTGAGACTTTTTTTCTCTCTACTTGACTCTCCTTAGGCACACTCTACATCATCGATCATTTTCCTCTGTGGCCCCATAATCTCCCTGATCACAAAATTTGGACACCACTGAGTTACAGGATGTCACAGCACAGGTTCTCTTATATCCTGAGTCCTCACTGACGTTGAAGGGCTAAGGCCAAAATATTGGTTATCTTTGTAGCCTCTCTATTTCTCTAATTTTTGGTATGCAAATTTTAGTTATTAAACTCCACAAGAGAAGCTTAATGAAGAGCCAGGGAAATGGCTCAATGGAATAAGCACTTGCCTGGCAAACGCAGGGGCCTGAGTTCAATCCCCGGTTCCGCCAAAAAAAAAGAGAAAGAGAAGCTTAATGATATTATTAGCCTGTAACAGAGGCAATTGCACATCACTATCTGTCTGAATATCAAACGCCTTACACATAACATGGAACTGCTATTGTCCAACAACCATGGATATTCTAAACTTTAAATCCCTATAGAATGTGAAAAAAATTACACATTTTTAAACAGAAATTTAGAAATCAAACCATATACAACATTGTAGCAGGATAATCCTATGACTTTTCTTGTCTCTTATTTTCTTTTATTAACACTGTGTGTGTGGAACCAGGGATTGAACTAAGGCCCCTGGGCTTGCCAGGCAAGCATTTATTCTATTGAGCTATCTCCCCAACCCTTTTTTTTTTTTCAGAACCGGGGATTGAACTCAGGCCCTTGCACTTGCCAGGGAAGCACTTATTCCACTGAGTCATCTCCCCGCCCCCCCCTTACATTTTTTTTACAAACATTTACTTTAAAGAGAGTATAGCAATAATTGATATGACATTAGAAGCAGTACACATTTAGAAGACCCAAATGATAGGTATTTCAAGCATGGTTTTAGAATTACACATTGCTATCCTCACTTTAGTTGCTTAGTGCACAGATATCAGAATATATAGTTAGTCAGGGTGAGAATTCTACCCATTAACCGCTATTTTCAAAAATCTGATGGAGATTCTTAGGACCACTGCCTTAACCATCTTGTGTATATAAATGTATGGTTTTGTCCCTGCCATATTTCCTAACTTTTCTCCTTGCTCTCTCTTCACTGTGGGAATCAGAAATTCTGAGCTACTACTACAATTTGCTACATACTGGCCAACCACCAGCATTAATTTTATCATTTTAAAAATAGGTACATTTATTTACCTTCCTAAAGTAAGAGGCCCTATGACCTTCTAGGATTTCAATAAGGTTCATATAAGTAAAAAAGATAGGATGGTTTTTTTTTTTGTATTTAGGACAGGGTGTACAGGGTCTCACTGCGTAGATTGGACTCACAGTGATCCTCCGGTTACAGCCTCCCAAGTGCTGGGATCACAGGTGCATGCCACCACAGCTGGCAAGGCTGGCATAGCTGGCCAGGGTATCAAACTCCTAGTCCCTGTGTCTGCCTAAGCAGGCGCTTTAATCTGCTGAGCTATTTAGCTGGCCCTAATAGGACAGTTTATTGTAGCAGCAATGAACGACATAAAAGTAAAATACAAACAACTTATTTTATCAAGCATTTATGTTTTCCAGGAAATGAGGCTCTCAGGATGCAAAGCTAAACACAGCATATTCACAGGGAACAATATTGGAACAGAGAACACAGAAAATTGACATTGATTTATCCCTGAAAATATGGGTCAGAACAAGATTCCAAGGGCAGTGAACACCTGAGTGCTAAAGGACAAACAAGAATAAGCAAAAATATGAGTCAAGAATTTTCAGGTAACAAGAAGTACCAAAGCAGAGAAAGATAGAAGACTGGAGAATTAGGCAACTGCTCCATTATAAGTCTTACATGCCAACAGCAGTTTGTAATTTATCTTAAAGGTAGTAGGGAGCCACAGCAAAGTTGAATGACATGGTTAGATTTGCATTTTATGAAGAATCACTTCAGAGGCAGCATGGAAGATGATGAAGTGGGAAGGAATAATACAGAAGGAAGGGAGATCAACTAGGAAGTTATTTTACATTGTTAACAGTAGTACCACAGAGCATCTGAATTAAGATAGGAACATTGAGCATAAAGAAAAAACAATTTCAAGATACATTTAGAAGGGCAGAGCATACTGACACTGTACAGAAGTTAAGGGAATTGCCTAAGGTAACTTGCAGATTTCTAGCTTGAACCAGTGTGTAGAAAATAGTCTAGTTAGCTTATGAATATGGAAGCTAGCTAGGGATATGGCTTGAGATAGTTGAGCAACCAACCATATTGATAAGTATTAAAACTATACAATACAACTTTGGGCCAAGAATGACTTTCCATAGGCAATGCAGCATGCAGCCCATTTCCTACTAAAGGGAGTTACAGCCACTCCCTACTAAGCTGTGTTCTGAAAAAACTAAAAAATGCAAAATAATGAGTTTGTCTCTAAAACCAATTTCCTTTAAGCCCTACATGTCGAAGAACTAGATTAGAGAGCCTGAGTTCCAATTGGTCATTTTAAATCCATAGAGCCACCTATAATATGTGGCCACTAAAGAACAGAGGAAGGGGCCGGGGAGATGGCTCAGTGGAATAAGTGCTTCCCTGGCAAGCACAAGGGCCTGAGTTCAATCCCCTGTTCCGCCAAAAAAAAAAAAAAAAAAAAAAGAACAGAGCAGTTTCTGCGCTGCTCTGCTTATCTATAATTACCTCTGGATTGAGGAATCATGAGGCCACTCACAAGAGACCCCTCCTGGAAATTTAGGAGCAGTTCTTATTATTTCAAACAAACTCTCCTAACCTCTTTTGGTTCACACCTTCATTCCTTGGCATGTGCAGAACCACAAGCTCTGTATTTAGGCTAACAAGTGGGAAGATGATAGCACCATTAAATGGTATCAGAAATAAAGGAGGAAGGGCCAGGGAGATAGCTCAGTAGAATAAGTGCTTGCCTGGTAAGCACATGGGCCTGAGTTCAATCCCTGGTTCCACAAAAAAAAAAAAAAGAAAAAGAAAAAGAAATAAAGGAGGAAGTCAGAAACGCAATGCACAACTATTTTTTCAGGTGTTAGACAGGAAGATTTCCATTTCAAGTTCAACCTGGGAATCTTAGGCCCTGTCTCAAAATATTTTTTTTAGAAAGGGCTGACAATATAGTTCAGTGTTAAGAGTATTTGCATAGCATGCATGAGGTCCTGGGGTAAAATCCCCAGGACCACGAACAAAATAAAGGGACATGGGAATGGGGATGAAGTTAAAGAGTCTGGAAGACGGGAAAGAGATCTGATGAATTAAGTTCTAGACCCACTGATTTTGAGACAAGAAAAAAATACTAATGTTTATTTTTTTAAGTTTTATTGATAAACAGATAGCAATGAGACAGTTTCAAATCAAATCAGAAGTACAGTTTCAACAAATAATACACTGCATATATTCTTCTTA